AATACCTACATACATAATATGTTTTGGTAGGTGTTGTACGGTGCTCTGCTCGCAACAGCATTAAACGGGGTGCCCACTACGGCTGGATCGGGCCGATCGCCCAACTCGATCTCCTGAAACTGAAAACAAACACGTTTGTTTTTGAGGCGATCGAGTCGGGCGATCGGCTCGATCAGCCGATCCCAGCCGTAGAGGGCACCCTGTATAAGGTCACATAAGCGCTCGACACACACACACACACACACACACACACACACACACACACACACACACACACACACACACACACACACACACACACACACACACACACACACACACACACACACACACAGTACAATTACATTTTGTCCACAAAAATATTTGTTTCGGCCTCGTCCCAGTTTTCCTCCCAGTTCTCACTCACCCCGACCTTTTAACTGGCCTAACAGAAGACTAGATGCTAGACACCCCCCCCCCCCCCCCTCCCACACACACACATTACGATCAGTGTTGTGAAACACAGTTTAACATAGATTCACAATACAACGTGGATGCCTGGCAAGTGTTTTGAACGGCATAGTATATATATTTCTGACAGTACAGTATTTGGGTTTGATTCTTGGCAAGATACGTCCCGTGCTGGGGTACGCCAGACTGTTGATTCATACACCTCAGCCAGATCATGATGCCCCCCCCCCTCTTTTTTGGGGGGGGGGGGGGGAAGGAGTAATGTTTTACTCTGGCAGTCAACCAGAAAATAAGCATCTATTTATTACAGTTATTGCTCTCTTCACGGATGAAGCATTCTTATACGTTATGGCTTTGAAAAGATTTAACAGCCTTTTAAACACCCTCAAATGTTGTACATGTATCTTCAAAGTATGCAAGGCTTTGTGTTCATGAAAAATGTCGGAAGTAATATCTTGACATAATTTTGTAAATTAGTATCCTGCCTAAAAAATTAGGAAAGTACATATTATTAGATTTATACTTAAAAGAGCCAGCAAGTTTTTTCTTCTGTCTCATAACACCCTGTGCTTTTCAAAAGTACGAAGTTTAATTTTTATAGAACCATACACGTCTCTGCCTTTCTGCTAGGACGGTGGGTCCCTTTCATTGACAGACAGGTTCGAAACCTCCCTCCTAATTGAGTTACATTGTGTCTTAAACTTCCCCCCCCAACCAACCAACCAACCAACCAACCAACCAACCAACCAACCAACCAACCAACCAACCAACCAAATAAACAAACGAGCAGACAAGCAAATGAACAATCCCAAAACATTGTTAAAGATAGCACTCCCTTTTTTCGTCATATACTTTTCCTGTGTTAATAAAAAACCCAACCCAAAAAGATAGCAACAAACTTGTTTCTACACTGAAAGTTAAATAATATTTTTGCATTTTCTGCAATTTAAGGGAAAAGAAAAAGATTTGTTCGTTATGAAGGAACATCTCGCCGGCCTCAACTGAAACAGATGAATTCTATTTGCATTGTGCACTGGGTATAATGCTTATCGACGTGATTTCGATTACCACTCGATGAAACTGCTTTCGTAGAAAACAATGTCTTTTATCGAAAAATATATTCATATAGAAAATCTGCGTCTTTTATCTGGGTTGGTAGACCTACATTCTCCACTCCTCAAGGCATCAGCAGACGGGCAGCATTTTGAATAATAAAAACAGGGTTAATGGGGGCGTAACAGATTAATTGTAGCAAGGTAAGTTTCGTTCATGCTTTAGAAATTTGCCTATCGAACCAATGCCACGGTTGAGGTAACACCAAAAAATCAAAGTTGAATTTAAGGTGCAGACAGATAAAACTCTCCCTCGCTTTTCAACGCCTCCACTTTAGAAGCATTGTTTGTTGCTTACTTATTGTTTAATTCAATGGCCTATTCCATACCCCCCCCCCCCCACATGTTGTCTCTTCTGCTTCATAAGCGGTGCCCATTCATAGGTTCGGCTCGGCTCGGCTCGGCTCGGCTCGGCTCGGCTCGGCTCGGCTCGGCTCGGCTCGGCTCAGCTCCGCTCGGCTCGGCTCGGCTTAGTTCAGTTCAGTTCTGTTCGGTTCGGTTCAATAGTCAAGGTTTGCAAATTTTTCTTCCATGGAAAGACAAAAGCTACCGTCGTGTCACAAACCGATGATGAGTTTAAAAAAACAAAACGCTTTTATTTTTAAAATCGCAAGTCAGATGAACAGTTTGTGTAAGGCCAATCACAACAAGGCTTGTAGCTTACGAGTCATGTGACCATCGTGACATTGCAATGTCAAGGTCAGGCTTTTCCGATCTTAATGCCAAAACCAAACAAAATAGACTCTGTAGATCTTCAAGATCTATTGATTACCGTATTAATGAGATTCGAGGAAACAGCAGCATAGTAACCGTTATATGCGACAAGCAGCCCTGGAAGGCATTGTACAACGGTGTTTTGTTAATTCCCTGGTCATTTGATACAACTGAGGCTGAAGCCTATTTGTCGTGTGCACTGAACCGAGCCGAACCGATTCTCCAATGTGCACCGCCTATAAGCCATTCGTCATCCCTTCCAACGCTAAGAGCGAGCGAGTCGTCAATGTCCGTTGGAGAATAGTTCGTAAGATGGAGTAATGCTACGTCACCACTACCCGAGCAGGGAGTGTGTTGGGTATTTTCTGCACTTTGACACGCCTCAGAGACCTGCTTTGTCTACCTTTGACTTTGGGCGTCCTTGAGGAGAAAACGCACGTGAATAGAAACCTCTATCGTAGGGAGAACTCGTTTTTGTCCCACTATTTTCATGTTTGAATTTCTTCGTAGCCTACCCGTTTTCGGCACAAATTAATTAGATTTTTTAAATAGGTGTAACGGTCACCCCGATCCCGAAACTGTTTTACGATGCCTGGAGAATAATAATTAATTGTTTTCTAACCACATCAACAGGGAGGTGGAAATAGGATTTCGTGCTGGATGAAAATTTATTTTAGAAGTTTACAGAATAAATGTCTTTGATAAAACAGTTCCGGTAAAAATCCTTGTAATAAAACTCTTGTTAAAAAATTGTAATAAACCACGGCAAAACTTTGCTTGTTGTTTATAGTCAGTCTGCCACTGACTCATGAGGTGATAGGCTGAAATTTCCAGAAAATAGCAGAGATTAAGTATGGTACCACTCGGAAAAAATCAGCGCTCCTGCACATTAAAGAAAGAGAGAGAGAGAATGAGAGAAAGAGAAAGTGAGAGAGAGAAAGAGAGAAAGAGAGAGAGAGAGAGAGAGAGAGAGAGAGAGAGAGAGAGAGAGAGAGAGAGAGAGAGAGAGAGAGAGAGAGAGAGGATGGGAAGGGGAGGGTCGATAGGTATCGATAGGTAATGGGATATACCATATATATATTGCAAATGTGGGACGCAAACGGGTATAAATCGCGGCGGAAGAAAGTGGGACGAAAACGGGTTGTGAAATGACGATGTGGGACGTATACAGGTGCACCGCTATTGTATTGTGAATTGCACTTTTGAGCTCCCCAGGTGTCGGCTTTCCATATAAAAAAGCAAAAGGGGGGCTTACTTTCGGTGGGTCATTTGGAATCGCTATAATGGTAAGATCTTAACGTTGACAGTCGAGTCTGTTGTCACGCGGCCAAAAGATGGTGAAACAAATCAGTCAGTAGGTCTATCCTTTTTCTTTACAATTTCTTTACTACCGTTGTTCCCATTTCATAATTGTTAAGTAGGCTATACGAAGAACGTATTCGCGCTAGAGTTGTAAAGTATTGTTTTTACAACGTTAAAGATCCCTTAGTGGTCCTAAGGTCGATATATGTAAGAGTAGGTTTCGGCCGCCACCGTGCAAAATTCAAAATTAATTCCTACCAGAAAGGAAAATATTGCAGTCGAGGTAAAAAACGGCCACATACTTAAAACTCAGTTGCACTGCAGGCTGAAGAACCAGCAGTCAACTACCCCTGAGCTCAAGCAAAAAAAAGAAGAAGAAGAAGAAAAAGAAGAAGAAGAAGAAGAAGAAGAAGAAGAAGAAGAAGAAGAAGAAGAAGAAGACACACACAAACCTCCTTTCAGAGGTGGACATCGTCAGTCCTGCACTTGACAGCTGAAAGGTCCCATGCTTTTTCAGTTCTTTCTTTATTCTTCTAATCACAATTAGTCTTTAGTTGCTTCATTCATTTTTAAAGATAGGTGATCGTATGTCCTTCCTCTTAATTGTATAGTATGGTAGTCTTCGGGTTTAATTTTCCAGACATCCGTGGGGCCGGTGCATTTTAAAGTTTTATTAAGAGTTTACGACACTTGCAACACGATACAGTCTCATAAGAACCGGAGATAGAGGTGTTACAAGAGGGTGACAAACACAAGAAAAAGAAGAAGAGATGAGGTTGACAAATGTTTGATAGGATAGAAAGAGTAAACCACTCAAGAGCACCCACCAACCACCCACCCTTCTGGAACATTTTAATAATTTTCAGAACAGTGTCTTTAGAAAAGGATGATCATACCGTACACGTACCGAGCTGTGTGTAGAAGCTTTGACTTGACTACAGATGCACAACGCACCGGTGATCTTGATACACAACTTCTCTATTAACGACCATTAATAAAGTAAAACTGCTAGAGAATATCTCATAAAATCAGGTTCTCCGTGCGGTATATTGCATATTTTGACACGCTGATTCCGAATATGAAATCTGTTTTCAGCTGCGAAAATTATTTTTAAAATTTTGCGCCCTAAGTTCAAAGTGATTCTAAATGTCACAGCATTAGTCTCCACCAAATCCCACCGAGATCGTCCAAAAATATCAAGCAGCGCTTGATTTCTCGACCGAGTCTCCGAACCGTCGTCCAATCGCCCACATTTTGTACAATTTTTGGGCATGTAAAAATTTGTCATACGATCGATAGATCGTCCAGTTTGTGTACAATTTATTGTTATGTGTAGCTGTAGATGACTTCAATCAAACAAACACATATAAGTAAAAACATGTAATACTAATAAACAACCGTGTTTTTCTTTCTCTACTTCAGACAACAGCCCGGTAGACAGACTAACATACAAGATTCACTTCTGATCAACAAACACAAGGAATTCTTGTTCCACGTAGTTCAGACTCCTTTTCTACTTTAGAATCCCATCTCGAAAACAAGATGACGAAGAAAAAGCACCAGAACGAGGTATCCCTCACGAACATAAAACGACTGAACACACAAGTCGATGCCGATCCCGGCGGAGTTGACATAATGATGAACGGAGGGAAACACACGAACGGGACAAGTACAGCCACCGGACATGGGAAACCAGATGCTCCTTTTCAAAACGGAAAGGGTACAGCGCAAAATGGTATCGCGGAGCCTAAGCCAGGCTCACAACAGTTGGAGATCACGAGGAACGGAAAAGGCACCGAAGGTTGTGATTTCTGCGATGAAATTTCTGTTGGAAGCGGGAAGGATGGCGGTGTGGAGAAAAGTGAGGTGGATAGGACCGTTGGACCTTTGGAACTGGTAAGTGCTGGCTGGATCAATGTTGTATTCTCGGACAATTTCAGAGCGGCTTTTCCACCGTCCGAATCCACACCCACCTCAATTCCCTGTTAACTTCCCACGCCCTCAGTCTAATACCATACCGAGTATGTTTAACCCTTGGCGGTTCTAATGAGTACCCCCCCCCCAAAAAAAAAACACAAAAAAACAAACAAACGCAAAACAAACCAAAAAACCCCCAAAACAACAACAAAAAACAAACAAACAACCCAAACAAAGTTATTTTCACAAATCCGTTTGCTATTCCCACAGTCTATTCAGTTAGTTAAATTATGGCGTAAAATATTACACAAGGAGGCGTAGGTAATAGACACAACTTATTGGAGATGGATTTTTTGTTATTTTAAAAGGGATATTCCTTGAAATAAAGCCTTTTATTATAACATCAAGAAAACTCAAGTTTGAGTAGAGTCAACCTTAGATTCCTTGGTCATGATGTTATTTATTTATTTATTGTCTTTTGTTGCTATTGTATTTATCCTTGCTTGGGGGGGGGGGGGGGGGGACTTACCGACGCTTTCTCAAGATATTTGATCTGTGCACATTTGCATTTTAATTAATTTTTCAGCTCACATTGTAGTTCGATCTATGTTTAGAAATAAAGTATAGCCCCTTCCCCCTCTTTTTTTGCTCTGGTGTATCACAACGACCACAGTCCGAGCTGTTTTTTTTTCTAATATATACAGCTGTTACCATGCTGTGATCTTGGACGTTGCGCACTAGGTGTAGCAGTTCGAAGTGGGGCGGGGGGTTGGGGGCTTTACTTTACTTTTATCACCATGTCTATATCAGATGACACGTTTTCTCTTCCTTCCTACTTCAGTTTAAATTCGCGACTCCGCTTGCCAAGCTGCTGATGTTCATCGGAACCATTGGTGCTTTGATGCTGGGAGTTGCACCCCCCTACAACATCTCCTTGTTCGGGGACGTCATTGACGTCTTTCTCCTAAACAGCCTGCAAAAGTGAGTAGTCCGCAACACCGTGATAGCTGGGGGATTATAACAGATAGCATTTGCACTAATTCCCGTTCAACAGCAAGCTCTATACGCTTTCCAATCGATATTATTACTCCAGCAGACCTCATAGCATTCTTAAACAATCTCAACTTCCTGAGAAGCATTCAGTGCATACAGGTTACATGTAAATAGTTAAGGCTAATTGATATGGTAATATAGGTGATTTTTACGCCCCCATCGATAAAGTAGAAAGTGTGACCTACTCAATCAAAATTCTCAACACCAGGGAATCGGACTCGAATCTCCTGTGTGCGACAGTGAAGCGCCTAACCGATGCTCCAAAGAAGCGGTATGTCAATGCCTTGTATTTGAAGCACACTAGAATAACACGCTTGCTTAATCACACAGCGTTGATGTAGCGAGGATTTCTGACATTGGAATAACGGGTCGATTTTCCCTCCAAATATTTCTTCGTTACACGTTAATGTAATTGGTATTATTTTCACCGAACTATCAGTCTCACACACCTAGAACTTCGTACAATTATCATTAGCGAGTGTAATAATGTCTGTCTGTCTATAAGTAAAATATTTCACTTGTTTTGGCACCCAAACAAGGGCCTGGCTGAAAAGAAAAAAATGAAACAACAACAACAACAACAACAACAACAACAACAACAACAACAACAACAAAATTAGTTAATTTCCCGAACAGTTTTCTGCAAACAGTACCAACCCCCCTCCCCCCCA